CCAGCGCCCCTCACTCCCAACCCACTGCTCCCTGCCACCAGGCCCCACCCTCAGTGCGTGGGGCAAGGGGTGGGTGCAGCCAATCAGTCCCTTTGCAGGCTGAAACTCTGACAGCTTGCAAGGGAAAAGCTATGGTTTCCCACGTTTTGCTCCTTTCAAGGAGAATCCATTTTTAAAGTTTGACCTATTTTTAAAGTTTGTTTGCCACACTTCCATATATTCTTGTGACCCACAGGTTAAGAAATGCTGATCTAAAGTTACTGGAAATGGCATTACTAATTTCAAATACAGTAATATAAGTAACACTGTTTTCAGCTAATATACAATACAGGTGGTTCCATTAGAATTCTAATTATTACCTTTTGGGAAAGTAAGCTGACTTCATTTTCCACATCCAGGAATTTTGCAACTTCTAGTTGTAATAAATGATATTTTTTTTCCATAACAGAAAATTGGCTTGACTGCTGAAATAAGAACCTGTAAATTGTAAGCAAATGGTGCATGTAATTGGTATGTATTAAATGTTTAGTCCCCAATCCTTTTACAGTACAATGGGCAGAAGGGCAGTACTTTAAAAGTACTGCCCTTTTAAAGTTCTAAGGTAGAGTCTGTTTTACTGCATGCAGCAGAGCTGTGGGGTGCTGACCCCACGGTTCATTCAACAACAGACAAGATCTCCAATTACTTTTTAAGGAGGCTTTCATCTCTACCTAATTTTAGGGCTGTGGGTGGGGGGGAAGGGTGAGCAGGCCTTCATGCATTCTGAAATGGGACTGATTAATGTAATCACCTTAGCCCACTTAAATTCTAAATTACTGGATGAAAATTAGATCTTTTATACCTATCAGATATCTTAAGAAGTATATTTTAGAAGATATCACTTATCTAAAGAACACCTAGTCAATGACCCAATATTTCCCCTGTACTTAAGACATAAATTTAAGAATTAAAACATATATTCAGATATGGAGCCAGACAGACTCTCTCTCATTTCCTCTTTTCCAAGGTAAATAAGAGTCTTGACCCAGAAGCCTATCTGTCTACAGTACAAAACTGCAAGCAATGAGACCCTGCTACTAGACTGTGCTGCTACGGGGGCGGGGGAATGCTGGCTGTGGACACTCTCTCCCCATGCCACTATGGGGGAACACTGGCAGTGGCAGGTGCCTTCCCCCTGCAGCCAATGAGAAAAGTGGTGGCAGTATCTGAGTTCTACCACTTATGTCTTAGCCCTCTGATATGAACTGGATCAATCTAGCCCACAGCCTAAAAAGCTTGCTGGTCCATGATCTAAGCAGAGCTACTATTAAATAGTTTTTATTTTTAGATCACCCTCTTGTTATACAGACATGATGCAATCCTGGCCCCACTGAAATGAGTTTTGCCATTGGTTTAAAACAGAACCAAGATTTAACCTATATCCTTTCAGAACCAGAAGGTACCATTATAATGATGGTCTCCTGTATAACAAGCACAAGCAGAGAATTTTACAGAGTAATTTCTGTATTGATCACATGGTTTGTGGTAGATCTACAGTTTATCTTTTTGAAAGATATCAAATGTGGATTTAAAAATGTTGCATGACAGGATCCCCCAAATCCTTAAATAACTTATTTCAATGGCTAATGACCCCAACTGCAAGAAACTGACTTCTCGTACGAATCTAGCCAATTAATCTTGTTTATGCCTTGATCTGGAAGATTTTTTTTTAAATCTAACACTATTAAAAATAATATCCTTGTGTGTATATATACATATAAAGCATAATCAAGTCACCTATTCTTTGCTTAAGCAAAATAGAGCAAGATTACTTAAATTTTCACTTTCAGGTTCCAGACCTCTGATTACCACAACTTTCTGAACGCTTTCTAGTTTGTTACCATCTTCTTTTAAAGCATGAACACTAGAACTGAACGCTGTCTTCCGTTTATACTTTACTTTGCGGACCTCACTAGGTATGACATGGAAAAAGCCAGAAAATAACACAATTGAACAAAGGCTGAAAATTGCCTATGTTTGGAAGGTCGCTTACCAGCTCAGGACTACGCAAACTACTAAGGAAAGTAGGCTTAAGGCTGTCCGTAAGTTTCTCGAAAAGGAACTCTGACTATTGTTGTTCCAGGGACCTGATGGTTCCTCATGGCTGCTTTGCTTCTCAGCCTTGTGCAGACCTTTGCTGAGCTTAGGTGAAGGACTAACTTTCTTTCTTTGCTTAAGTTCAGACATTTTAGGATGGATTCTAAGATGCAGAAAATAAAGAGGGATCTAGAAGGAAGCAAAATAAATTGTTAGCCTTTTCCCTGTTAATCCAGACTTCCCAAAATGCAGCTCGACAGCTGCACTAAAAATAAGCTTTTTGTTTTTAAGTAACATAACTGAGTATCAATCTCTTTTTGAAAGTTATGATAAACAAATAATGAATAGTTTCCAATAAATAAAAAGCTATGTTCTGCCGTTCTTTCTGAATAGAAGATATTTCTTAAATGTTCATAACAATATTGAAAATGGACGCTTTTCCTTTTCAAGAAAATGAAAGGCAGATTCTACGGAAGTTGATGGCACTTGGCCAAGAATACTATTAACTTGCCCTGAGTGTGCATATGCAAGCAGAGTTTTCAAGTTGTTAAGTTTGAAAGAGAATATTTTCTGTTTCTATGACAGCTCAATAGCTTAATCAGTTTGACTAATTCTTCTCTTTTGATCATTTTTTCTATTGTTTGGGGTCACTGTTTATGCAGCTAAGGGAAAGACAAATGACTAAAAACAATATATGGAATTAAGAATTAGGTGTAATTTAAGGATATTTCTACTTTGACTTTATAGCTGAAACTAAAAAAGCCAGATATATTAGTTTAACACAAATCCAAGAGTATAATCATTTTTTTTGGTAAACAAACTGAAAAATGTCACTTTTAAAGTTTTAGGCACTTCCACTGGGTTCAGGCAGGAAGCCAAGAATCTCAACCCTTCAGTAGCGAGGCTCGTGTTGCTAGACTTTCAGAATCACTTAAATACTTTTAAGTAATATTGTTAAGTCTGAAAACACACTTGCCAATCTGTTTAAGTCTGAAAACACAGGTCAGTCCAGAACCAAATCCTGTATCACGGACTCTGGACTAGGATAATTTCTTAATGGAAGAACAGATTTTATTTCTTTTCCTCCTTCACAAATATGAATGCGACTAGTTGATTACAAGGAGGGAAGTGTACGTGCAGTGGCTGAGGGGTTCTGAAAACCAGACAAGTGGAGGAAAGCGAAGTGAGGTAGTTGAATATGCACAAGCAACGGCAAAGCTAGATTATAAACGCATCCCATGCTTGCAGTATCTATGTGCGTTTCCGGCTCCAACCTCCGCCCTCCAAGACTGTGTAATGGGACTACTGCTTCCCCAAAGCGCTCAGATGACTTCAAAGGGAGCAGCAAGGGTGTCACAGGGAAATATCTTCTATTGGACCCACTGCATGGGTGGGCCGGAGTTAGGGCCCTGCTGCACTGTTCAGTTTATACCTAACTTCTGTTCAGCTTTAGAGTCCTTATGCAGTTTCAAGCACAAACTTTGCCCCAGGTTGGCTCTCTTCAATAGCTAAATCCTCATTTTTTATGGTGTGATAATTACACAGCACCTGTGGCCAGCCTACTTTTATTGCGGGATGGGCCAGTTCAGTGCAATAGTTACTTCTTGCCCACCAGTGGTCATGGACTGTGCTGGTTAAACGTGCAATGATGACTTTATCCACGCACTTGCCTAACCTATGTTTCTGGCAGGATGGGTCAGTTCATTGTGTAATAACTTTGCAGATGTGGCCCGTCTACACTTATCACGCGCCCAGCCCAGCCCATGCAGCGTGCCATCACTTCACTTGGCACCTGTGGGAGCTCTACCTGTGTTACACCAAGCACCAGTGAGCCGCGTGCTGTATGTAACGTGTAGCAGGTCTTCAGACGAGCTTTCCAACACATTGCAATTCAACCTCTGGCTTCCCCCCACGGGCACCTCCCATGTCCCTCCAGGGTTGCAGAGGGCAGGGGCGTGGGAAGAAGCGGCCTCAGGGGCATCTCGCCCCCTCACAGGGAAGGGCCGGGGGAGCAGCCCCGCGCCGCCGCCGCCGCCCCCGCCCGCTCGCTCGCTCCCTCGCTCGCTCAGCGTCGCGCTGCCCC